CAATACATAAATGCACTAAAACGTGAAAAAGTCATTTACATTTGATAATATAATCCAATACAATATAAAATAATAAAGAAAAAAAATACATTTTTCAATCATACATGTACGATCAAATTTTAAATTTTTTACAAATTCAAACGAAACAATTTATAGGTAAAGCATGATTAAATATTGAAGACAAACTATCGAGTTTAGGCGGAGGTTATTCAAAATTTTGAAAATAATGATTTTTAAAAGTAAAACTATTTTTCATCACAAAAGAAAAAGTATTTTCGAACTTTTAAAAGAATAACGAACAATACTTAAATTGTCCAAATTTGAATTTTATAAAATAAATTAATAAAACCTAATAATAAAAGTATATATATAATAGAATAATAATTTAAGTCGATAAATTTTTTAAAGAAATTATTTCGAAAACGAAAACTAATAATATGTAACTGTTTAGTTATTATTTATTATATTGAAAAATTAAATTAAAAAGTAGAATAGTAAAGAATTGAACCCCATACCTTTAGGACATACACAACATGGCCCATCTACAATTTGAACTACCCTTCTTTTGTTGAACAATGGCACAATTAATTAATATTTAATTATTATTTACAGTGTTTAAAATTTGAAAGAGAAAATATTATTGAAGGGATTTGAACTTGGGCATTTTGTGTGGAAATGCACCTTCACTCGCAAACAATTTACACAACTTTTCAATAACAATTATACAATAATATATTTTTTTTCCTCCATAAATCTTATTTAAATTTTTCTTCCCAGCGGATCCAGCATAGGCGGCCACCTCGGCTCACAGGGTGCTGGATCTGCCCCTACTTGCACCTCCGAGTATGACCTTTGCACGACTTTCAGGGGCATAAGCAGGGACGGGCCCAAACTTTTTTTATTGCGGGATCAAAAATTAAAATATTTTTTTGGAAACGACATAATATTAATGAAAATAAGTCAATACGTTACTATAATTGTAGGCTACACATTTTCATACTTTGTAAGAAGTCAAGAACGAAAGTAAAGGTTTTGCGGAAAATTGAAATTGAAATTTATAGACAGTAATTCGTTAATCTAAACATCCAATTTTTAACATATTGTCAACCAAATAACAAACTCAATTATGCTTAAGAGGCCAAATTTCATTAAACTTCAAAATTGTCCAAATCTTGTACTCCAAAACATCCTTCATCTAAAAGGCCATTTTCAACTACACCCTCACATTCAATCCTCAAAATCATACAAAATCAAATATACATTACAGAAAAAAAGAAAGGAACCCACTTATTAATTTCAATCAAATATCATGTACGACGAATAAAATCAAACATTAGATTTCTAAAGGCGGTAAGGATTGAATACGTAAGCTATGATCTTAAGCCTCGAAACTCCACCGTTGCTCCAAAATGTTCAAAAAAGAATTTAGAAACTTAAGATTCTTCTATGTTTGAAACACTTTCCTCTCTATTTCTTCACCACTAAATTCATATTTGCAAAATTTATAAAGCCAAAATTCAATAATTCATTCACTAACAAATGGATAATTAGATAAACTAACAAAATGGACACTTGTTGAGTGTAAGCAAGAAACATACACTTAAAGAACAAAAAAAAAACAATAAAGAAGGCAACTACAGAATTCTCAAAAAAATTGTAGGGTCACAACTCACAAGTCAAATAGTTTGCACGTGAATAGGAGTCTAAAACAATTATGTAAAATATCGTGTATATTCGAACAAAGTGGACACACAATTACAATTTACATTTAGAAAATTCATATGAGCACATGGACGGGTGTTGGAGATTTGGTTCTAAAAGGAAGTAGACGACAAATGTGGGAGTTCTAACTACAAGATTCAACTAGTTTAATTTCCAAAAAAAAATTTCCTCCCTGTTTGATAATCATTAAAATAATCTTTTTTTTCAAACTCAATTTCAATCACATTTTAACAATAAAATATTTTGTACGTAGACTCGTAACTCTTTCTTACTTTAATTTTAACCATACATTCTCCAAAAAAAAAAAAAAAAAAAACTATTTCAAAACCCATTTCCCCCCAAAAAATTCATTGAATTTATTGGCTAAAAGGGTTTAGTGAAACTAAAAACCTTACGCTGATGCATCACTTCAAGAACATTAATCTAAAGAGGTCACCAAGTCCAATCATCATACATTGTCAACTCACAAAAATTTCATTCATGATGTCAAAATTAATGTATATATAGCAAGATTGTTAGTTTTATAATCAAAAGTCTAATCAATATTAGCCCAATGTAGATTTTTTTGCTTTACATTCTTCCACTTTGTCAGACATCCGTTGATAGTTTTAAATTCTAAAATGAATTAGGAAAATGACTCCAATTAGACGACGCAAATGTTTCGCAAGTGTTTATACTTACTAAAAGTCAAATTTTTTATCCATATATTTTGTGAAATTCACAAGTACTATTTTCTCGTCCGTCATTTATTTCCATCTATTTATAAACATAATCGTTTATAACATTTATCAAATATATGCTATATTTTAAAGAAAATTTGTGCCCACCTTTTGAAACATAACTCAACTAAAAACATCTAGTCCAACATAATTACCAAGTTCAAATCATTCTTGTTAGTAAATAATATAGACAAAAGCATTTACCTTAAATCGATTGTTTATCACTTTTCAAGCAGATACTTCGAAAGATAACAAAATATTCACTAAAGGGAACACAATCATATGAGGTCAAGGTCTATCTCAAATAATGAGATGAAACCTTACAAGATTAGTTATCTCAATTGTTATTATGTGGGCTGCCTCATAATTCTTGTCCCAGTTGGCTATGTTGAGCTTGTGTTGATCCTTAACCGGTTTGGCCCAGATGGTTATTACATTGGCTAATAAAACGTAATTGTTTTCTTGGTTTGTGATCTGGCCCTACACTTGGCCAGTTCTCCACCGTTGATGAAATCTTTTGATCTGCCACTTTAACTATTTCTCGAAGCTTCATTTTCTAGGGACGGTTCAGTGACTCTTGTGAGATTTTCTCTCCGTGTGATTAGGGTTATCTCCTTCTCTCTGCCATTTGTAAATCTGAGTGATTTTTTGTGTAATAATCCGAGTGATAAGGTAGTGAGTACACTTGATGTATATTCTATGAGATTGTGTATAATTTCTGAGTGATTTTTCAGGCGAGAGAAATATAAATCTCTGATTTCTTCATGCATTGTAATCTGTTCTTGGTGATTTTTAGTGGAATTAGAGCTTAATCCCTTTGTGTGGATACTCAACGGGTGAGTAAGCTTTAAGCTGAACATCCGGGCCCTTTGG